ATAATATGAGGAAAAACAGTTGCAACAATAGATGTGCTAAGGTATTCGATTACTTTTACACAAGTGATACATCTTGTGACACTAAAATAAGAAATAAAATTTTATGCCAAATATCATTTCTTAATATGCAACAACTCTTGTTACATATCTTTGTTTATAGATAAAAGTCAAATAAAACAAATTTCAATATGAAAAATGAGACAAGGTAACAGAGAAAACTACTTAAACGTTGAAAAATAGCATATTTTAAGATATGTAAATGTGAAATTGAAGATATATTAAAAATTAATGACAATCAAATTATGGGAAGTTTCCTTTTTCATACCTGTTGATGTCTTTCAGCTTCAAGTAATTAGAGAAATTATAGGAGTAAGTAATTTTGGTTTATTTTAGTAGAATATTCAGTATTTATAGTATATAAAACATCATGCAGTATATTATGAATTATTTTATTTTTGTTGGTTATATGTGATTTTTTCCCATCAAATTTGACCCAATACGTTTGGGCCCAAGCCGCCCAAATATAATTAGATATGTCTGGGCCATATATCCATTTTTGGTCCATCTTGGAACGCGGCCCGAAATGGGTAGCCCATTATTCTTGAAAATGTGAAATTTTAAGAGGAAATTACGTCATTCCAGGTCTTTAAAGATAACAATTCAAAAATCAGGGTAGATATTTCATTATTCACAAATCAGGTCCCCATCTATTAAAACCCTAATTTATCTCCACAACTATCCCCCCCTCCCTCTCTCTCCCCACAGTGAATCGTCCCCTCCATTCTCTCTGTACGAATCCTGTGCAATCACGAACTCTTGATCTTCCCCTTCATCGCCTAGCCCATCACCTACCTTTAATCTATATCACCCTAGAAAGAGCGTGAATCCTCGACCAGAAGGAACTCGAATCCCCGCTAGTCGCGGAGTAATTTCACTCTTGCGACTGCGGATCCATCCATGGCCGTCATCTCCATCGTTGCTCAATGCGAACAGCGGTCACTGCAGCGCAGATCTAATTAACGTTCCCCCAAACAATAGCCCTTTTCCATGGAACTTTTAGTTTAGGAGATCTAAAGACATTGCTATCATATAGGTAAATTGATAGTAGTTTTCTTGTTGTTAGGAATAATAGGAAATGGGTTTATAGCAAGAGATATTGGGTTTGAGATCAAAGTAGGCCCTCGAAGAAAACAAGTTGTGGCACTATATATAGCCTCAAATCAATCCATTTTGTATAGTTGTAGCATTTTGGTATAGCAGGATACATTAGACGCAGTCTCCAATCATCAATTTTATGGCAAATGTAACATATACGGTACCATCGACTTCATTTTTGGGAATGCTGCTGCAGTGTTCCAGAGCTGTAATTTGTTCTTTCACCGGCCAGCTGTTGGAGCCTACAATGTGATCCTGGCACATGGCCAAACCCTTCCGGTCCAAAACACAGGATTCTCTATTGTTATTGTTTTGATGTTAGTTGTGGGTGATTTTACTTGTTTTCCATTTTGCAAATGGTTGTTTTAGTGTTGGTTGTGGTGGTGAGGTGGTTGTTGAGTGGTGGTGTTGTGACGGTCATACTTCTTGGGCAGTGTTGCCATGGGAACTATGGAAGGGAAAAGTCTTGTTTGCTGAAGGCATGATGAGTTGGTGTTGGTGTGGTGGTGATGGTGGCGACTGTGGTGGTTGTCGTGATAGTGGTAAGGTGGTGATGTTAGTGGCAGTAGTGTTGTGTTATTGTTATTGTTGGTGATGGTGGAGGTGGCGGCACAGCGACGGAATGGGACAAAGAGTGTCTGTGACCAATTATTTGGTCGATTTGTGACCAAATATTGGTGGAGGATCGAGTGTTTGGGTGTATGTGACCAATTATTTGATTTTTTGTGACTAACTATTAAAATGTGATTTTAAAATTCAATATTTGTGACTAAAAAAATCTGTGACTAACAAATTCGAAAGTATGATAGATAAATTGTGATCTATAATTTTTTTTATCTGTGACAAATTAAATAAAATGTGACCTTTAAAATTATTGATTTGTGATTTCGAAATAATCTGTAACCAATTAATTTGACAATATGTGATTAATAAATAAGCTGTAATCTATATTTATGTACACGTAACCAATAATTGTATAAATGTGACCATATTATATTTAATTAATATATAGTTTTAACTAATTATCTCATACCTGAGTTTTACATTTTCAAACCTTATACCTGACTTGTGATTTGGTGAAAACTAAATCACTGAGTTATGATTTTTTCCCAAATTTTAATCTTAACATTACTTCCCCATGATGGATTGTTTGAGAACGTAAATCCTGAAATTGGACTATACTTTAGATAGGTCAAATTTCTTGCTTTAAATTTTCGAGCTTTGATACAATTTTTTTCAGTCTTGAAGTACCATATTAAAATATTAGCATTTTGAAAGAGAGTAATTCAAGACCTTATATATTGATTAATTTTTCATATTTAAAAATTTTAACCCTCAATAGGCTAGTCGATAGACATATATTCCATATATATTTCTTTCTTATTTTTTGAGTCGTATCCAATCTCTGAACTGAGTAAGACAATAATGAACATCTCACTTGTCTTCTTTTGTTCGAGTACAACATTGTCTACAACGGTTATGTTGTAAGTACAAAAAATTTAACATAATTTTTACAGAAAAACACTTGGCAATTTTTCTTTGATTTTTGACATAACGAAGGCAGAAAATGCACCAGCAGCACCTATATGATTTCTTGTCTACAACACATTTAGCATGCTGAACTCAATTAATAATAGACAAACATTTCATGGATCTCTAGTTCTTGACATTCTCTTGAATTAGCAATGTGCACTGTATCAAGCACACCCTAACTCAAATGCTATTATCCAATAAGCCCTCTAATAGCTTGGTTATTAATTTTGCAAGACTCGAGTGGTTCTTTTAGCAGTCAAATATTCAACTGATATCTCAAAGCTAAATGTTGTAAAGGCCAACAACTCCCCATAACTTGGGGCCAAGGGCCAATAAACTTCATCCCCAAAGATAAAAACAACAAATCAACACAAAATCGAGCATGAAGCATGTGGCTTTTCTAGAAGGATCTCCAATGAAGATAACATCCCTTGATAAGGTTTTAATCAAGTGGCAAAAGAATTAGATGCCAAAACACACAGACTGAAAATATTCATGGCATGTTCAGTAAGTGGACCATAAGAGTATTAAAATGAGAATAAAATAAAATAAATTAAAATCTTATTCATTGCATATTCCAATCATGTCCAGTGTCACGTATTAAACATGCCCTTAGAGTCTACCCAATCAAGATTTCGATCGAAGTTCCACATTTATTGTATGGATGGTTGTGTTTTAGGTCCTTTTTTAGGCACTAGTAGACGCATCACCTAAAAGGTGCTTTTAATCGAGGCCAAATGTGCTCTTACTCACATTTTCATCAATATGCATATTCATGACCGTGTGATTGATAAGCCCTGTTTGAGCCACGTTCTCTAAAAACTCTTTTTCCCCCAAATTCATTTTCTGACAATAAATAATTTTACACATAAACCCAAAAAACTTTCCGTACTTTTTAATTGCACATCCTCGATGTTTGGGGAAATTGCAGATTATGCTATATTGCCAGGAAAATCTTTTATTGTCATGGAAATAGACACAGAAATTGCAGACATTTTACTTCTCAGGCGAAGCACAAAACTAGTTAGGATACAGAAGATATTTATACATATAGCTTAAACAGTAAGGTACCATTTCCATCCTTCAACTTCCTTTTCTTGAAACTCTAATGGCAGTCTACTTAAAACTGAGGCAAAACCTTAACGGCTCAATCAACTTTTCTTCAAGAGGACTATCATAAAATCTGTACACTTTCTTGATCTTTGCATTGAAGAGAACAACGATACAAATTCTCGAATTTGTTATCTTTAATTTTCAAATATAATGCACCAGCATATATCTTCGACTTCTAAAGAAAAGATATGAGTAATTTGCAATGCAACCAAAAGTTACAAAGCTAAAATGAAAATGCTGAATTGTAAAATAATAGGTCATAAATGTGTCTTTACCTTACACATAAGGTGTGTGCTTTGCACCAATAGATCTCTCGTAAAAGGGGAGTGAAATTTGTAAAGAAAATGGTAATACACGTTCACAATGATAGAGAAAGAGTTTTCGACTCTGTAACGAACTGTAGCCCACTATTTGCACGTGGAAATAAAACAGATTACTTTGCACTCAAAAGAAAATGAGATACCAAGTGGCAAAAGGCAAATTAAGGAAATTCTTAAGTTGCCATTTAAGACATTTTGCTTTTTAAAGTTTCATATATTGTTTCCACATTTATGTCCTTCAAAATCACTCTATCCATGAGCCAGAACCCCTAGGACACCAGCATAGCTTCCAAATATTTAATTGTGCACTAGTAGCTAATATCTGCATGGTGCATCAAAACTGGTGTCTTAACTTCTGCGTGCAAATGATCACGTGCTAGTCCCAAATGCAATACCTCTAGAAAAGGGCTCTAAATATGGGATTTATAGTTTCATTTTCCAGTTTTTATTCTTTTCAAAATTCCATTTGATACCAGGTACACGGAAAGTTCAAGATCAAGCTAGGAAGAATAATAGCTACATGTCTTTAATCTTAATTCCACAATGCTTTTAAATTTGAATCCCCATTCATGTCTCCCACTAGAGAATATCAGGTAGAATACACATTATTAGAGGTTTATACAACCAAATAATCACAGATAATGCATCCCTGTGTGTAGAATACAACCATAGAACATGAAATCTATCAAATTCAAGACATGATCATACTCCAGGACAAATACATCATCCATTCAGCTGTATGCACACATTATATAAATATCGTACACATTCACCTAAATACATACACAAAACACACAACAAGAAGACCAAGTTCCAGCAGTGTCAAAGTGAAGCATTTGAGAAATGCATTCTAAATTCTAATCAACAACATAATACTAGGTAAACAACAGCTAAAACATAAGTAAAATAGCTTGAAATTTCAATTTGTTGAATTAGTATATGAACAATCGTCCAGGCATAATTGAAGGAAATTTAGAAAGAAAAACAACACGGAATGATCCCACTCACAGTAGCAGCCAGTCTTTAGGAGTTACTAAAATTTTGATTCTCGGCCCCTTCTTCGGAACCTGCGTCCTGTTTATGGTCCCCGAACTTCTTCTTGAAGGAATCTTGCCTCTGTAGCCACATAATATGGCCCTGAATTTTCACGAGAACCTAAAAAATCCCTACAAAATACAAATAATTCATTTTTCATATATGTATGTCGTACGAGTACCTGGAGAGCAGCAGCCCAAGCTATGAGGAAAGAGGTAAACCAAAATTTTTTGCTCTTAAGAATCTGCCGGACTTCGAATTTGTTCTTTTCCATTGCCAGCGTATTACAGAAAACCGTAAAACCCTATCTCGGAAAGTTGCATAATCAATTATGAAATCTCGTAAATGAATTCGGTAAGACAAAGTTCTGAAAATTCAGGATATAAATTGAAAGTTTCAGAAACTTCAGAGGGATATTATGAAGCTCCCAGAATATTCAGGGATAAAGTCCCAATAATCTGAAGTTTAGTGGCTGATTTGAATATTTCAGAAATTTCAGGGATCAATCGGTGCCGAACATAAACCCTATGGACTAATTTGTACAAACAAGAAAGTTAGAAGAACCATTATGATATAAACAGAAAGGTCAGGAACCAATTTGTAGAATGTCAAAACATCAGGGATATATTTGCATATTCCAAGAACATCAGGAGCAGACTTAGAAAATTCAGAAATTATAGGGACCGGATTGAAGAAACCTCAGAACACGGAGGGCTGATTAATAAAATGTGGATAAAGTGTTTTTTGACACTTGGTTTTAGTTTCTATTAAGCCAGGTATTATGAACAATTTTAAATTTTTAAGAGACATGTAAATGAGTAGGGGCAGAGCTAGAATAAAAATTCGGCGTGTGCAAAAATTTTATTGACGTTGAACGTCGAGTTTTTATAGGGCAATACTATTTTCAATTTAATTCACAATTTCACAATATCACAAGGCAATACTGATTCCAGAATTCTCACTTCACAATTCACAGTGCAATTTCACAATTTCTATTTTCTCACTAGTCACTTCACAACTCACAGCACAATTCACAATTTCACATGATATACTCATCCGAAACTTAACAATTTGATATGGAATTTGAAAGCGATACTATACCTCTAGAGTGGAAACACATTCATAATCACCACCATGTTCCCAAATAACAGTAGTTGTATCAAAACTTCCTGTCACTAACAATTTGCCAAATACAGATACCTACAGGGTGCAAGAACATGTACTTAGGGTGTATTTGATTACATTTATTTTTCATGGAAGATTGATATTTTCCATCCAAATTCTTATTTGAAGTGTTTGATTGCTATTTTTTTCTATGGAAAATATTTTCCAACTTTTGAAAATATGCCTAATTTTCCTTCTTTTTAAAGAAAATATTTTCCTTGGATAGAGATGAATTTTATTTTTCACAAAAGATGGAAAATATTTTCTTTTTTAGGTGATATTTTTCATGTCATTAGAGTTAGAGTTACATAGAAAATGAAGTAACTAACATTAATTGAAAAAAGAATCTACAAATTATAATGACACAACTCCAAAGAATAAAGGTGCAGAGTCGCAGACACTCAATAATCAAATTAAATCTAAAGTCGGGTCCGGCTTCACCTTCTTCTTCTTCTTCAATTCTTCACTTCTTCTACTGTTGTCGCCGAAGAATCGCTAGCGTCTCCTTCTGCAACTGCTATAACTCGTAAGTGCCGTCTAAAGTCTAGCCCAGCCATCTACGATTCAAACAAACAGCAAACAAGGACTGAAAAGTAGGGGAGGAGGAGGCGAAGACAGCACTAAGACTGGAAGGAGTAGGTGGCAAAGGAGAAGGCGGAGTGGATATGTGGTTTGCGGATGGAAATATGGAATGGATGAAATCGAAGGGATTGAATGTTAAAACTTCAAATGGTTAATGTATTGGGTAAATTAATGGGCTTCACTTCTTGCTTCTTGCTGGACTCGAACATTTGGAGAGTTCAAATAAAAAAATATATATGGGCCTCTGTGATTGGTGGCCCAAAGGTTCAGTGCTTGCATTTGCTTGCATTGGACCTCATTGGGCTCCGCCCCTGTAAACGAGGGACCCCAAGTTTTGGTAACAAATTTACAATTAATAAATGCATAGTTCATTCTCATATGTGAAACTCATGTACATTTGTCGGTCATGCTTGTCGAATAAAGCTTATTGTAGTATGAGTTAAATTTGTACAATTGTTACGTTATAAGGAAAGAACCGACTAAAAATTTTAAGACAGCAATTCATATTACTTTCTCGACTTATAATTTATTACGGTTACAAATAAATTGGATGTTCTTTAAGATAAACTACATTGTTCAAAAAATCACGCATCCACTCTACAAAATGTAAGTGACATCCTAGCAATAAAATCGTGTGTGATATATGTAATACATGCCACACCATTTTCTTTATTTATTATCTCCAATTAGTGTCAATACAAACTGCTTATAAAAAGCTATTCCAATTTTAATTACTCTTCACACATTCTTATTAATATGATAATATCTTTATTGTTGCTATATTCATCTTATAATCATCTTGTACTGTAGATTGACCCGGAGCGGTTTTAAATAATTTTAGTAGCATTGATATATTTTTTTTACGCACTTAGTTATTAATCTCATTAGGAGTAATTAGGGAAAAATAGTCTTCTTATGTCCGCATAACAGAATTTTTGGAGGAAATCGTTATCATGAACAATATGTTCTAGTTAATAAATGTTAAGGATTAATATGTGATGAAAAGAGACATTGGAGCAAGTATGACAATATGTAAATATTAGAAATCTTTAATGTAAATAAAATGTGGTGACTTATAAAAAATTGTGATATCAATATAGTATGATGAGGATGGCAATTTACCCATCCAATCTAAGCCCTGCGATGCTTGCTTAGTCGGGTGGTGGGAATATTTCAAGGCAAAAATTGCAGCCCTTGGCGGCATTGGGCTCGTCTCGCTTCAGTTGTCTAATTATTTTCGAAGAATCAAAATTTGTTTGAAATCACCTTAACCCCAATATTTTTATGCTCAAACCCCAAATCGATTGCGTAAATCCATTAGCGCAATTCCTAAATGACTCGTGTTCCTAAAATTTACAATGAAATAATTTATGAGTAAGACAGGGATGTCCCATCTCCCCTTAAGTGGGGATTGAGACGATAAAATTCTTGACATGACGTGGACAGGGTTCCCTACCTCAATTCGTCCTGCCCTATTGCCATTAATATCCCTTATAATTTTATTCCTAGAGTTTTACCATTTAAAGTATTGTTGTAACTTTGTCGAATCTTAATTGTTTTTTATTAATTTACACACATGTTGAATATTCTCTACTTTTGATCCTTTCTCCACATTTTGTTAAATCAAATGATTAGATTGAAATGTTATTATTTATTCTTGATGCTTGTTCGTTTATAAGTTAACACTGGATGATGCCTGGATAAGATTTAATAGTTATTTTATAACATCTACCTTTAATGTAGGACTCAAAGGGAAACACTTGATGCAAGCTTGGAGGAAAATTCACTAGAGGTCATTCAAATTACAAGTTTATCAATGCTGGTCACCTAACTTCAATGTATATTAATTTGACGAACAAACTTATATTTTTGTCTCAACTTAGACTATGTGACAACACAATTCATTGAGTGCTAATAAATACAAATTTTGCATTTGTATTTTAAATGAGTGAGTCTTCTATGGTGGCAAATGACAGGTGCCTAAATATTGGAATCATTTTAGGTAACATAGGTCACGAATTTCACTAGTTTAATTACTCGATAGAAATATTAGTTATAGATAGAATAGTCAAATAAAAATTAAACTTTTAAGCTGAATGATCAAATCTAAACAAAATAGATGTCGGCAAATCGATGAATTAAAAAAGTATGATAAAAAAAAAAAAAATTACCCTTCAACCTTGCAATAAGTTATTTTCTACTACGGAAATTGTCCCACGTACAAGGCAAAATTCAGAGAGTCAATACAACGGGACACCTCCTCGGAAATTTATCCTGTACCTGTAGCATCATTATTCTACTACTACTAAGAATGCTCTGTTTATACTCGTGAAAGATTCTTCTCGGAGGTACAAACTACAGAGTACAATGTACAAACAAAAATAAACAAAGGAGAGAATTTACCCCTCGAATTCAAGACATGTATGACATTGCAGAAAGCTGAGCCAAAAAGTTATTCAATTGGGGCACTTTCGGTTTACGCACGAGACAGGGTCACGGATTTGTGTCCCTTTGTTGCGAAAAAGGCCAAAACGCCACCGTACCTACTCGATGTAAAAACATTTTTACTTTTGTAGCGTGTTCATTTTTGTAAAAGATGATAACTCGTTTAAGAACATTAATATTAGAATTTAAATGTTCGTTTAAACATTAACAGTCGAGTTGTTAATTTAAACTTCTTGAACTTTGATATCTTATTCAGTAAACGATTAAAATGAATATAAACTAATCTAAAATCCCACTTTGGGGATATGTTTAAATTAAGAACATGTTTTAATGTTAAATTAGTTTCTGGTCCATACTTTATCATTTACTTGAACAAAGACAGGAAGGTTGAACAACTGATTATCAAGGATGAGTGTTAAAAAAAATGAAGAAATATGCAAGGAAAATTGTAAGGCCTCGCGGCCTTGCGCATCTCGTGCCGACCAGTCGAGACTGGTGCAGGGGTGACTGGACACAAACTACCTCAAAACTAGATTGTGCTTGATTCTAGGAGTGGACACAAGTTGGATTTGGATCCAACCAACAATCTTCAACCCAAAATCTAATCGAATTATTAATAAATCGACTCAAATTGACCCGAACCTGTTTAGTTTTGTTTGATTTTTGGTTTAAAAGGATTTTTTTTCCCTTAAAAGTCATTTTTTTTTAAATCCAACCTTTGTAATCGAGGTTTTTTTAGTTGGTTCAAGCCAACTCGAAAATCAAACAAACATCCCTTCAAATTGACCCAGTTCGATTCAATTTGATAGTTTGAATTGGTTATGCGAGTAATTTATTCATCCCTACTTGACACTATCAAAAAATTTCTACTCCATCCAAGTAGTTTCGCGTCTAATCCCTGCCAAATCACTTGATGAGCATCCCAATGGGGAAAGAAGTAAATGAAACAATAAAAAGAAAAACTAATATACCTCCTGTTTAATAGGAATTAAAATTTATCAATCAAAGCAAATTCAATAGTTAATTTTAATAATATATTTCATGGAACTTATCATTTTCTACCATATATTTCATCAATTTTTATCAAAATATACTAAAAATCTAATTTTAATCTTCATCGTGACAGGAGCATAATGCAAAATAATAATAATAATAATAATAAGAAGAAGAAGAAGAAGAAGAGGAGGGAAAAAAGAGTAAAAATCAAACGTTAGTAAACGAAACATTGAAACCAAAATCTGCACTAACATCAAGTCATTATTGTGATTAGTGTCCTAACTATTGAGCTTGCTGTTGCAGTTTGGATGAGAAAAATTCATAGGAAGTACCTGTAAAGAACAGCTTGAAGGACAATACTGTTCTTCAATACTGTAATTTTGACTAGGTCTCTCTTCTTCCATGATTTTTCTGCTATAAAGTTTATCTTCTGCATCCCTCAAAAACTTCAAATTTGGAGGTGGAGAAGACCTTAATTTATTGAATGCTGCGTCACTTTCCGATTCATGAAATGGATTAAAACAACCCTTTTGATTATGGTTATCTGACGATGATGATGGGGTTAAAGGAGGAGTAAAATATGGGGGAGAGGTAACAGGAGTCAAGAAGGGAGTTTCAGCAATATTGTGAAATAAATCACTCAAACTTTTACTTCTTGATTGTTTTCTACTGATGTCGAAACTGGATCCTCCATTTTCAGATTCCAAATCTGACCTTGTTTCTTCTTCTATAGAGTAGAGAAATCTTGGAATGCTATCTTCTGATCCGAAGGGATTGAACTGCAAATTCTTGTTGTCGTTTGAATTGCCATGAAATTCATGCGCCTGAGGTGTTTGAGAAATTGTCTCTGAGACACTTATTTCTTGAGCACCAGTTGTACTTGAAGAAGATGGTTTTTTGCAACAAAATTTGGAGAAAAATTTTGTTGCTGATCTATTGTAATGGCCATTTTCATTACTTCTCTTGATAATCCTATTTTTCCACCATAACAAGTAGTAAATCTCAAAAAGCAGAGCCAGCAAAAGACATCCAAAAACAAGACTCAGACCCAGCCCTACACCACTCAAATATTTCATCCTTTTTATCTCTATGAATTCTATAAAACTTCTGACTGCAAAACCATATCATAAAAGTTTCTTCCCAACTTCCCACCAATAATTTCAGGTTTCTCAAAAAGGATCAGACCCGCGCTAAGCTGTCATGCCTTTCTATTCTGGAGGCCGGCCTGAGTCAGAAAACGCTTAAGAACAGAAATTATTTTGGGCAATAAAAGAAAATCTGGATAATTGAAGACAAAATGCAAGTATCTGAGAGAATACTTTGGGTTGTAACCTGAAGATTCTCTTTACCAGAGGCTTTAGACTTCAGAATGATTGCCCCACAAAGGTAAATTAAACCAACTGCAATAAGCAAAGCCCACAGAAAGAATAAAAGGTCAGTTTTTTAGGTGTATTGGTCTTCATGAATAATGGTGTGAACTATTAAAGCTAAACAAGGTATAGATTCATTGCAAGTCCTCAGCCAAATTTGGACAGTATATAGTCAAGTAGTATTTCAACATTAAATAGCATGTAAACCACATTTACACTTGTCTGATATTGGTCTATTAAAGTTCTTTCTGTCATAAATATTAAATGCAATGTTGGTATCGATATAAAATGCACGGGACAACTTATGACATATTTACTTATTTAGTAAGTTAGATTAAATGCTATAAACAGTATTAAAGAAAAAAGGTTAAATTTTTTTAGCTCTATTAAATAATCCTGTTTAATACTGCATACCATATGTGCTAAGAAATTGCAGGTGAGAGGATTGGCAAAAGAAGGATGCCCTTTGTGAAATTTTTATGGTTGGAAAGTCACATTCTTCGATAGATGCTCACATGGGTTCATATGGAAACGAAAGGTACGTTTCATTTGACAAACATATTAATCTCTTGTGGTCACTAGGCTTTGCCAATAATTGCCCTATAGAGATAGGACAAGTTTCGTGCGCAGCGGTGACAATACAGAATACAAAACTTCCTTTCCACCCTTTCTGTATTATTCAATTCACTGTTCTAAATGTTAGCATGATGTTATATGAATTGAAATATTTGTAAATGCATATAACTTCCTCCAGTCTAAATCAGGACCATAGAAGCTCATGGGCTTTTTAAGGAACCGACGATCTTATGTGCATTACACACAATTCTGGACCTTAATAATTTCTTTTTTCTCTTTCTGACATGTGGACTTTTGATTCTACTTGCTAGTCTGCTAAGCAAATTGTTCAAACGTTTGATGTGGGCTCTCCAGACTGATGTACTTTTGGGGAAGTCTCCCTTTCTTATGATCAGATGATAAGTTGTTATTCTCACAAAGATGAAGCGACAAAAACTATGAGTTATTTCCCTGATTAAGTCTAGGGTTGCGCGTCTCCACGTCCAAATGTTACTAAACTTTCTGTTGTTATATCTCACCTTACGTGGCACTTACATGGGATTATAATGGAGTCTATTGAAAATAGTCTTGTAGGAGGATGTAATGGGTCCGATTTGGATACAAATTCGTTGAACAATCCAATTCCCTTTTTACAAGGAGTTGACTTGACATGCCAATGTGTGTTTCAAGGTAAGTAAATGGGAGCCTTAACAATGAATGGATTTAGTTCACAAATTTTTGGTATATATTTCATCTTAACAATGAAGGAAGCTTGTAAGAGGGTGACCAGTCCCGGAAGGACATAATCGTTGGCAACTTCAGCAACTCTGTGCCGAAGAACAATAGATTGCACGACGAGAATAAAGACTAGCATGTGTTCGCATGAAATTTTTAGTAATTTCTTAGGAGGAATATTATTGGGTCCCACTTAAATGTGTGATTAAATAACAAAGCTGCTATAGGTACACTTTGGTATAAATTATGGGTTACATTCTTCCAATTGGCATGATCCATACCTTTGATTTTCTTCCTACTTTTTCCATCAATGCATAGATTACCCCATGTAGGGGGAATGTCGTGCAAGATGTACACCAAAACATTATTCAGTTAACAAATAGGTAGTAGTTGTAAATGTGTGGTTGGAATTTATGTTTTACAACTTAAAAGATGAAAGATAAGAATTCACGGAGAAATCTATGTTTCGATTTCCAAAACGTCTCTCTCGGTTATCATTTTAACAGATTATATGTAATCTAATTCATTATACAATATTAACCTGGGAGCTCTCCGTCCCCGAATTTGAATCCAGCAACTGCGAAAGCATTGAAGGAGAAGGCACAACAATGGTGCGACACATGGGGCAATTCGAATGCGAATAAAGCCACATATCGATACACTGTATATGGAACGAGTGCATGCACTCCGGTAGTGTACGCAATTCTTCATCTTCTTCAAACTCCGACAAGCAAACTGCACACGTATTATCGTCCACTCTGATCAAGCCAGTATCCTTCTGAAATTTGTGTGCCGGAAGGAGTTCGGCCACTGATGTCTCTATACTCAATTGCGGGTCGGGCTGTTCGTTGGTGGAGACGAACGTTGTTCGCGGAGGTGGGTTTCGGTGGAAGCGCAGTAAGACATGGATGTTCATGTTCCCGGCTGTGATGCAATGGTATATGGTGACGAGCACGGTGGCAGAAGCGGCTGCTACTAGGCAAATGATGAGTTTAATTACAAGGCCGGAGTCTTCATCATCTACCATTTGGTGGAGAGTTTAAGAGAATTGGTTGACTTGGCATGGAGAAAGGGTTTGATCAGACATACATAGAACGAAGGAAAAAGCAAGAAAGGTTTTTGTTTCGCGTGAACTTGTCTTGGCTTGTTTGTTTCATAGGACAGAATTCTATTGAAAAAGATTACCGAAGACAATGAAATTAAAACCCTAGTTTGGTGGAGATTAAAATTAATTTTTAATAAATTTTGATAAAAGTTGATGAAATGTGTAATTAATAAGTTGTGGGTCTCATACAATACGTGATTAAAATTAATAGTTGACTTTGACTTTAATGCCAATCAAACATGGGCAAAATCTTGTCTATTATACACTAATGCTACTATCTAGTCTCTAATTTCTTCACCGTTTGCATGTGATCTCTAGGTCCTTTTAGTTTTTCTAGTTGTTAAAGAAGAAAAATAATTTCGAATCTTATATAATACTACTTAGGAAGTGTACCCTTTATATTTTTTCTATTTTTTTTTTTCACATTCTACACGTTGATATTCAGTTCTTTTTGTTTTTCTCTCTTTAATCTTCATATTCTTCATGCTGCCTCTTTTACCTTATTGTTTTCCCTGTTTTTCAAGAAAAATAAGTTAAATTCTAGTTTATTATTTTGTATAGGACGATCCAATAAATCGTAATCTTTTGCATTTTTCTCTATTTTCTTTACATGCTGGATGCGGCCTCTGTCTTTTTTTGTTATTAGTGTTTTTGTTCTATGATTGTAGTCCAATGTCAATGTGCTATAACGCAACCAAACTGAAGCATCTTATGTCTTTTTTTTTTTATCTCCTTCACACATCATCGATGTTGTTATTTCTTGTTTTTTTCGAAAATCAACGAAAAATAAGCCACTTTTTGACACAAAAATACCAGGTGCGTCACTATAAATTGTATAAAAAAATTAGGCCGGCATATGATTGATGTAAATATTAATGAAGAAAGCTAATCAAGCCACCTATCGCATTCAAAAATATCTCCCTTGCAAGAAGAGTTCAAAATTCCCTTTGCATATTCTCACGTTGTTTCATTTGTTGCGCATTTTGCAGCAACAACTCATCAGTTTAAGCAAGTTGGCCGAAAAACTTTGAAGTTGGTGAGCTGATGCCTATTACCTGAAAATGAAAATGAGAGGAATAGTATTTTTTAGAAAAATGAGTGGTTGAAAAAGAAAGAAAAGTTTTCGATTTACGTATAATATTATTTTATGAAAGATTGTGTGGTTGAAAATAGGAGAGAGAAAAATGGAATGTAATGTAATTTAATTTAATGGGGATCAAACAGGGGCATAGTGTTTGGTGAGTACTTTCAGTTAATTAAAGACTATTTTTGATAAAATTAGAGATTTCGTGCTTGTGAAAGTGATTATTTGAAAAGTAATTATTCAAAAAAAAAAATGATTAAAAATAAGCTTAGGGGGAGTGATTTTCTAATAATTATTTTTCTTCAATTTATAAGTAAGAATAGAAAATTAAAATAATAATAATAATAAAAAGAATAAATACTTTATCATCTTAGCCTTTCATTGATGTCAAAAAAGAAGTCTATTTTGTGAACTCAATCCCAAGGCAAAACTTGATAGCGCAAAGGCAGCTAAAGACAAAAGAGGGCTCACGAAAGAGGCAAAGCGTATCGTCCTTGATGATACTCGGAAAAATCGTTACTTCAATACATATAGGCAAATCTTAAAAGCATGACTTCTAAATCGTCGAATAACACGTAAATACATAACAGAATTAGGTATCAATCAATTGCCAAATGATCATCACCTGTCATTTTTGTTGAAATACCCAAAATCCCAAGAAAATCTATAAATACCCCGTCTATAAGTGATTTATAAATATTGATATAAATTACCTTTAAAACTATTAATATATTAGTACTAGAGAGAATAAATTTAGAGTAATCCCCCTTGTATAGGGAATAACTCATAGAAGTCATACAGGTGATGCACTGGCAACATTTGTACGGCTGCTTTTATCATTTGCCAATGAAAAATTGCCAAGTGTGCATATGTAAAAATTCTATCAAACTTTTTCCTGCACACATAACATTACTCATAAATTTATTTTAATTAAATTTTATCCGGTTAAAGCACCCCCCAAATTCTGATGGGTTTTGCTCCCTATTGTTGGGGGCTGTACTGCTGTTCACATGGTTTGTCAACCTTAGTGTACAAGTATCAAAACCAACGCGTGCATATCCAGTTAATTGACAGCCTCAGTTTGAAGGTCCTCCACTTTTTTTGGGTCAACCAGCTGATCATGATCATCATGCAGTCAATTCATCAAAGTAAACGCTCCATGTGTGAATTGCTTGCATTATACACCCCAACCCACCCCAACCCACGCCACCAGTGCATTGACTTACTAGGTTATTATGAAGTTGAAGTCAATGAACATATTCTCATATAAGCCAATCTTTAGCAGACTACAGATACAAAGAAATATATTTCTTACAGGAAAAATTTAGCAGATTACTAGAGAATAAATTTTCATGGCTCCACCACCTTCAACTGTAGTTTCTTCATTTGTTTCTCTTATTGTAAGGATCCTTACATTTGTTTGCCTTATCATTTCACTTATCCTCCTCACTACTGCCACTGGAACTGCTTCAAATGATGATTACGGAGAAGTCAAGATCAAGTTCAAACACTTTAAGGCGTTTAGGTAAGTTTCTCTAATTAGAATGTAAAAGGGTTTGGAGTATTTATTTGTCGATATTCATATTTCTACTGCAGGTATCTTTGTGCTGCCACTGTCATTGGCCTTGTCTATACTCTTCTACAAACTGCATTAACAGTATTTCATGTAAGCACTGGGAACCGATTTGGCGGTGATGGCTTGGTTTACATTGATTTTTATGGCGATAAGGTATATTATATGGCTTTTCATATCTAATCTCATCTCAGTAATACTCTCGGAATACTTGATGTCAATAAAAGCTAGATTTTGACAGATGACCCCACTTTTCTAGATAGAAACGTGCTTCACGAACACAAAACCCACGGTCCCACGAGGTTTAGGAAAACAAGGATTAACCTGTTTGGCCAGGCTTAAATCCAGGCAAACAGCCGACCCTTGGATTTAAGCCTGGTCAAACAGCACGATTGGGAAAACAATTATGCCGAGCATGCACAGCATGGGTTGGTGGGTGAGTGGGGGGTTTTTGGCAATTTTTCCGCATGGGACGACCTGCTGTAAGGGTCAGTAGGTAAAACAACATTATTGGTAGGAAAATCATAGCCTGAGGATGTTACACGGTCATTTTATTACTTCCCTGAAAATAAATAGCATTTTTTTTTTCCAAATTTTATTATTGCAAGAATTTGTTTTTGGAAATCAGCTTACAAGATCGACATTTTTGTTGAACTACAAATAGTACGAGGTTAGCTAAAGTAAGATTGTGGAGAAAAACTTGAGAATTCTTGTATGATATGAAATTGATGACTTTTTGTTGCCAATGTTCCAATATTCATGAGCGAATCGACAAGATTGTCTTTAAATCTAGTCAAACTTTAATGAAGAAAATTTGGTAATAATCAATTAGATCGTGGTTGGTTTGCCGTTTTTAGATCATTTTTCGTTTTCTGTTTTTGAAAATGCGAAAAACGCGTTTGGTTCGTCGTTTTCAAAAACACATTTTCGAAAACGAATTAAAATTTATAACTGAAAATGCAAAACGACTTTTTATCATTTTCAACGTTTTCAGTTATAAATATCGAAAATGCTCAAAAAGCGGAAAACGAGCCGTTTTCAGAGAAAACTAAAAATCGTTTTGAAAATGAAAATGGAAACCAACCACACCTTAGTTTTTCTAA